CTGCCCCGTGTAAACACAGCTGATCTGAAGGCTCCACCAACAGGTCAAAAATAAAAGTGCCCAGACCTCCACCGTCCGACCAGCAGATCATTATAACGGCTGAATGAAGACTGGTCAGTAGGAGATGCCTCAAAAGTCACGAAAAATAGCCTGAACTGAAGAAATATTATTATTAATGCTATTGCAAAAAGTAATGATAAAACACCCCATAAGCTGATCTGTGCAGATAACAACATTAATGCTTTCATGTGTGTCTGGGCCCATATTTATCCAGAATCTCAGAATCATTTCTAGGAATTGTGCCGACAGTTAACTTTAGACAAAAAAAAACCTCCTACCTCAGAGAATAATTTATGTATTCTACACTGCCGCGCAGTACTGCGTGAGGTCGTTGTTTTACCACACCCAGAGCAGCAAAGCAGAAATTATGATGATATATTGGGGTCATCCTTGGTTGTAGCTGTCCGTTTGAAATATTATACACTGCAAAAATTCAGAATGCTGAAAATAGCACCACTTTTTTGTGTAATGTGAGGAAATAACTCCAGTACCTTTCTTCCAGTAACCAGATAGCTTACTAATGTTTTACTTACAGCCTTCTGGTGTGTATAGGTAAATTCTATCAAGCTATTTATTAGTTTTGGCATCTATAATGTATTTGCATGTATAACTTTGTGATCTGCTTTGAATTTTACCATTAATAATCCCAAAGGCGACCGTCAGGAAAGCTGAAATATCTGATTCTGAGATGGAGCATGAGTTATGGAGTGCTTTAATGATAGTAGTACACACAAACATACTCACTTTGGCATTTAAGAAGCTCATAAGAACTGGGGTAAGGAGAGCTACATTTTCTGAACAGCTGCCAAAAAAAATCAAGTGTATTCTAACCTCTGCCAAAACAGCAGGAAACTGGCAAAAAGCAGGCTCCCTGAAACAGCTTGGAGCTTTCAAGCCGACAACCCTGATGACATCATCAGGGTTATTTTCTCAAACTTTAAAAAGCTCACTACAGAGCCACAGAAAACATGTTACAACTGTTTTTATAGGCTAAATAACTCAAGTAAAGAAAAACTGGTGTAGTGTCCTTTTAATAACACCTCTATTGCGCATTAAGATATTTTGGCCAAAGGAGAGTTCTGGAAGCGACACAGCACCTGGCTGTGTTTGTGAAGGCACACTGTAAAGTACTCGGTTTTCATGGTCCCTATTACAGTGTAAGGCACTTAAGTGTGAAAAGTTTCCTTTTCAAATGAATGGGGATGCACAATAATTATTGGGACAGATAAATGATCTGCCGATAATGGGGATTCATATTATGAATTATAGGGATCATTAAATTACCGCCGATAAATTATATGATGTATTAATTATTCATCTTGAATTCTTATGCAAAACAAATGTTAGCCTTAACTTTACTAGAAAAAAATAAATGAACATTTGATGAACTGAGCTGTTGTTATATTAGCAACAGTGATGTCAGTCAGATTTGGTTAGAACGGAGCTGTGGAATATAAAAATCCTCCATCTTTGCTCACAACATAACTTAAGACTTCCTTACCCTCAGGTGTGTAAAAACTACAAGTTATGAACTTCTTTTTAAAATACAAATATGTGAAATTATCAGTATCAGCCATGAGAAGCAGGGAATTATTGATTTAAATAAAGAAATCGTGCATCCCTACAGATTAAGCCACCTTAGTTTCAGCTCTGCATCTATGAAGTTCTTACTGTAACTTTGGCTTTCAAGTGTCAAAAAGGTCCAAGAAAAGAAAATCCAGAACAGAAAAAAAGTCCAGTAAGAGCAAAAATGAGAAAACCATACCATCCAGAGCTCAATCAGCTCCATAGCCTCGGAGCTAAAAGAGCTACAGCGCTAACAATTCTCCGGAGTTAGAGAGCTACGCAAGCAGCAGGTGGCTCAGGATCCTGCGGCGGGTGTGGGGGGCTGCTGGGACGCGGTGAGAGAGGAGGGGTGGAAGGAGTCGGGGAGGTTCTTGGCGTACTCCACCAGCTCGTAGGAATCTCTGATGTCTGTCAGGCCGAACCAGAAGACGGTCCAGACCCCATTAACGAAGCTGCCATCACAGTGTTTAAAGTACCTGGACAGACAGACAGACAGACAGAGAGAAAGATCACGTCAGATATTATTGTTCATTTTCAGTTAACGTAACAACACTATTTTAAGTCAGGGTTCCTACTCTTCTTAAGAAATCATTTTCCAGGAGTTTTTATTGACAATACAAAAAGCAGGTGAGGTGATTACCCCTCTCAGCCATCACTGTTCTCTTCAGAGCAAAGTGAAAACAGTCACACTAGTGACTTTGTGACGCTGTACTGACGGCTTTTTAGTGATGTTGACACCAGCTGGAGCCAGACTGTTTCCATCAATGATGCTTGGTGCTCAAACACAGTCAGTGGATGGATCCATGGTTTGTTTTATGTGAAGATGAAACCATATTATTATCACCATCTTGTTGCTGCCGTTTACATTCAACCAGACGCAAATTCA